AATCAAGTATACTTTTACCCTGATCCTATAGATTTAAACTAATTTACTAATTTCTGACTTTTTCCTGTCCATTCTAGCTCAGAGAACAGAATGATTTGTATCAGGGCTGCCTCACTCAGACTAAATGTCATGGTTCTGAAAGAGCCAGTGAGCAAAGAAATTGGTGCAAAAACACTTTTTTTCTTTTTCTCTCTGAAGCGAAGATAAGACAGCGAGAGGAGGGTTGTTACAGTGAAAGCTGCCAGACGAAATATTTACACACACCTAGATACAGACTGTCGGGCTAAAAGAACAAAGAAACGGATGAAATACAAGATGAGAGAGGACATGTAGTTTGTTCGGTGTATGAGCCCATTTGATACGCTCACAAACTAGTCGTTTTTCATTTCCCATGTTTATTGCAAATTTTCATTTCCTCTTTGGAGTCTGATATCTACCTGCGGGAAAGACGTGCAGCATCGGTGACCAGCAAATATACATTTGTAGACCGTGAAAAAGATATCGAGTGCGTCAGAATTACCAGGAAGATAAGCAAGAAGATTAAAAAAAAGGTCTGAGTTGAGGAAAATGATGAACAGTTTGGCTATTTGGAAGCGAGGCTATTTGCCTTTTCTTTTTCTCACCATCTGCCCCACAGATTCTCTCATTTACCTAATTAGAGTGCTGCTTCTCGTGGCCAGCACTCCCAAACGGCTTCAGCTGTGCAGCTGTATGTGACCCGTCTTTATTAGCGATTGTGCACACACCTCAGGCTTTCCTGTACAGAGTTTGTTAAGGGGTGTGTGTATGTGTGTGCAGTCATGATTGTTGCCCTTTGCAAGCTTTTGGGTGTTGTATGTTTAGAGGGCTGACTTAAGGCAGGTAATGTTCATTAGGGAATGAGCAGGTGATCGTAGCACATTCTTTCATATACACAATCTGGTAATGTGTGTGTGTGTGGGTGGGGGGGGCATTGACCTGAGTTAATGGCTCAAACGCTCAACTCTGCAAGTTTCACTGACTGTAGTAGAGTTTAAGCTCCCCTTAAGCTTTCATTATTAATTATCCTGAGCTTCTCTAATCTCAGCATGCTGATAATTTACAGTAGCTAATGGTAGATTTCCCCCCAACCCTCCCACTCCCATAATCGCTTGATAAGCTGTACAAAGTAGGAAAAAACCACACACATACTGTATTACTAATGTAGGTACCAACTAGGGTTGGGTACCGAAACTCGGTTCCGGTATGACACTGGGCCGAACATCCACGGTAGTACACAGACCAAAACACAACTCTAATTTCGGTGCCTTATTTTGGTGCCTCAAAGAAAGCTGTTAATGTGCGCCCTCTGGTGTTCACTGTTAACAGTGACAGCCGCGGCACACAATCTCCACGGACTCTCTTGTACGCGGTTCGACTCGGCTCGGTCTCGGCCCAATGCGTCTCTCCAAGCTCGCTCCACAGCTGCGCTGTCTCAGAACCTCCTCTCCGGTGGTTCGGGTAGAAGTGAGTACAGCACGCTTGTGATTTTAACGTCAGCAGAATTCTGCCTGTGGATTAACTCTTGGATTGACTGACAGCAAATTTCCTCCTGGAGAGAGCTGCTTTTGTTTAATACGAGCGTGCGGCGCGATACGATGACATGGTGAAATAAAACTGCATTTTTGGAAAAAGCAGAACTTGTAAACACTTCCTGGAGAGAGGTGAAGGAGACGAAGCTGAGCAGATCACCGGAGTTTTTCAACAAATTGGCTGCCCGCTGTTACACAAGCACTAAACAGCACCGTGAAAATAAATAAATAAATAAAAGTTAAGTCCGAACGGTAAGACAACAATGGCTTTTTTATATTATTATTATTATTTTTAACACAACAGTTGAAGCCGCTGCGGACGGTCCGCACATTATCACACACCCACTGCATGGAGACACACGGACACTGAGCAGAACCGACCCGACCCAAAGTGAATCGAATAGAACAGAGTTCATGGAGAGGGGCTGAACAGGTGCCGATACAGTTAACAGTTAAATTTTATATAATATAGTCAAGATGTCGAAAGCAAAACGGTCCAAAGTGTGGTGTTACCTTAGAAAATAAAATGCAGAAACTTCCACCTACAACAAATGCTTTAAGAATATATGGTGCAAAGACAAATTATTAATGGTTTTAAGTTAATTAGTTGGCCAACTTCAAGTTTGACTTTGACTCAGAAAGTCATTGCTTCATAAACCTCTGTGTGAGTGTGTGTGTTTTATTTATTTATTTTTAAAGTACTGATATAAATACAGTTTTGAAAGTATCGATTTAGCACCGGTATCGAAATAAACCCTTTCAATACCCAACCCTAGTACTAACCGTATACATATTGATAACTCCGTTATCTGCCAACACTACCAGTCAAGAGTTTGGACACACTTTCTACATTGAGGTTTGGTGCTGGGATCAATCAAGGCTATGAAGAAACACATAAGGAGCCATGTAGTGAACTTAGAGGTGTTGAACAAACCACAATATTTACGATTTTGTATGGTTCACTTAGCTTCATGAGCATGTAATCATCTGGAAATGTTTTCCAACAGTCTTGAAGGAGTTCCAATCAGCACCAAGAGGTTGTTGCATGGCTATGGTCAGAGTAAGGGGTGCCTGCTTCCAGTGGACTAGAAACTAGAGCATATTTAGTAGGTTTGTTTGGTGCTTTTGTGTTTGCTGCATTGTTTTTTATAGTATAGTTTGGTAGCTAGTCACCATTGTAAGAATGAGAGTTTGACTATTGCTCTCAGATGTAATTAGAACAGGTTGTTTACTGATGACCTCTCAAAAATAAGTTGCACCACAATACCATCAAGTATAAACACTTTTGCCCAAATCAGAGGTTGGCAATAATTTGGTTAGCCAAATAATCAGTCAGATTTTTAAAACGAATCTATCGACACATTACCTAAAACCTATTAACAAGCAGACATATCTGTAGCAAAAAGTAATACAGCCTGGTACCTACAATGTGACTACAGAGTACTCATCTTGTACCCATGGGGAACTTTCTTGATATATGCCTGATACTTACGGGGCATGTACCTTGTAGATACAGCTTAACAAGTAATTTGTGATACAGTCAGATCACAGTTATCCTGTAAATACCCCTTTATGTACACCAGTAGGTACAAAGGATGTACCTTGTAGTTACCCGGTACAATACTTTTGAATGTTATGGGCTGTATTGTGTATTTCTTTTGACATCATGAGATCAAGACAATGGCAAATAGCCCTAACTATATGTGAGTAGTGTATGTTTAAAATTTGGATGAAAATTTTGCAAAAATGTTAACTACTCAATTTTGGGAGCAATTAAGCAAAATTGTCTTTGTAAGTTTCCACTAGCTTCTCTGATCGCTAAAAAATCAGTTTTGGAATAGGCTATTGACAAACTCTAATCAGTCATTTATGAGTATCACTAAACAAATCACTGCAAAGTACCCTGGAATCAGAGGAAATGCATATAGGATATAATAATCAGTGTGTGTTGTGATGTTTCTTTTCAGTTCATTTTATAATTTTTGATTTGATTTATTGATTTAACAGGAAAAGATGACTAAAAATCAAGCCTGACTCAGCATAATTGCTGTTTTACAGCAGGTTCCTGTTCTGCAGCACATAAAACACTCAGAAATACAGCATCACAATCACATGGTTATATTTATTTATTTATATATATTTATTTTCACATGTCTTCTTGGTTCAGCGACTGTCTTGTCTGCCAGCTAAAAAACACAGTGCCAATGCCTTTCCATTCCTCCTCTGAACATTAATTCATTTAAAACAGTCAGGCAGGATAAAAAAACAGCCACTTTGAAACAGGCTGTTTTAAAGAGGCTTTTGCTCACAGGGGAAATCATTTTATCGCCTCATACTGTGTTAATGGCCCTATTTCGAAACTAGATGCTATTGCTTAGCAATTTCTCTTTTACAGAATTATAGTGACGCTGGGTGGAAATGTAGGAAACTTTTATTTTTTTAACTCTAGGAATTGTTCTGATATACTTTGTCAGGAACTACAGTACTGTAGGAAAAATAAAAGTAAAAAATCACTTATTGCTTCCAAGAGACCAGATTTTTTTTGCAAACTTTTTAAGTGGTCTTGATCAGCAGGCTCTCCAGGCTTTTTGAAAGTGTTTCTTTGGTTTTGACAGCAAATGTTTTTAGACCTTTTCTGGACTGGTTTGTACCTGACCATTAACCTGAGCAATGTGGGCCTAAAAATAAAATAAAAAATAAGCAAAGTGAATGGAAAAAAAGATGTGCCAGGTAAAGCTATCTACAGCAACTGAATAGTCATATTTGAAAGTCATGTCAGGTATTGGACTGGAAGTCAAAAAATGTTTTTGAAAGACCTTCAGTGAACTTGAACTATTGATCAAAGCCACTTTAAAAATCACAAGAATATCTGGGTGCATGGAAGGGAAATGTAAAAAAAAAAACACTAGGGATGACTCGAAACTTTTCAACAGTGCTGTATGCTAAATGAATGCCAGGACCGGAACATTTACATTGTAAATAGTCTGAAATTGACATAACCTGGAATGTCATTTCTGATGGATGAAATATGACAATAAAACTGAACTTGCCTCGCGATCTACAGATATTTTTTCCCTTTAATCGAGCAGTGGTTTTGGAAGAACATCCATCATTTCTGAGATAGGGGACACTGACAGGTTGATATGTGTTATTTAATAAAAGGCCAGTGTCTGCTTGATACATGGGCATACCAATGTATCCAACCCTTGTCTGATTGAGCTTTGATGGAACGGTGGCACTTTCTTTTCGACCGAATGAAGAACAAAAGGCTGCCGTAACCCAAAAATAGTAATGGATGAATGTGCAATACAATAAGAGTTGATATAGTAATCAGCAATAATATGCAAGGTGTTATAGTAATTATGTAAATGAGCGAGTGATCATACCCACCGCACGGTTCAAATTTTGATTGGCCTATGATTGTTGGTCCCAGTTGGGGTTTCATACTTGAACCAACAATAAAAACAGATTGAGTTGCTGCATTGAAGTGATTTCTCGAGTGCTGTGCAGAAAATACACCTAATTAATTGCGGTCGTCTGTGCTGCCACCACTTTTTTAGATCAAAATCAAGCCCTGGCACCTGTTTGAGACTGTCTGTACTTATACGTTTCTAACAGGAGCAACAGTGGACGCAGTTATGCTTCAGCTGACACACAGCAGCTACTCAGTTGGTGAGTCACCGAATCCTGTCTCTGAGACAAACTCCTTCGTCTCTCCGTCTCGTTTTCTCAGACAGGAAGTTTTTTTATATGGTTTTTTTTTTTTGAGTGGCACAAAAAAGGGACGCGAAAAAGACGGAGGGAAAAGTCAGCAATGCCAAGAGCTGACACGGCTTTCTAAGTTTGTAACTGTGCTGTTTTGCCATTTCACAGCAAAGTGCCTTCCAGGCTGAGCGCTCTTTGTTGTGCGACATCAAACATGTGAGAAAATGCATTCGCACTCCTTCAATCCCTTTGTGACAGGTTCGGCTCGGCAGCTCCTTTAACCGTATGTGCCACCAGAGACCACATAAACCCTTACTGAAGACAAATGGTGGGGAAATGAAACAACCCAACGGAAGCTCTTCTAGGAAAACATTATAAACAAGGTTAGATTTCTGCACAACATCTGAACTGTTTGCGTTTAAACTTAATGAAGGCCTTTTTATCACCCCCTGAAAGGTGCTTTGACTCCTGGAACAAACACGTTAAGAGCACGTGTCCTGAAAGTAAATGTGGTTTAAAAGGGATGAGGCAAAGAAGGGGAAACACCAACCCTAAAAAAAAAAAAAACTTTTCAAGAAAAGACAGTGATGCAAGGACGCGGCTGTATCAGTGGGAGGGCTGCAGTAATCGGCTATCCTGGAGGGGTAGACAGTGGGGGGTACCTAGTTATCAGGATGGATTTAGAGACTCGCAGAAAATCTGCAACAATGGGGAAGAAAGTCAACACACTGCATGTGTAGAAATGTGACTTGAAATGAGATAACCTCCCATTTTTCTGTACTTGGTGGTTTAAAAGGGGCTGCTGCTTTCAGAGTTGAAATGGCGCAATTAATAATTTTGACTTACTTTCCCAGTCAGATTTTATTAGATGATGCCGAAATGATTTGTACAAGGTATATTTTATGACGTGAAATTGAGCTGGTGTATCAGAAGTGTTTATTGGCCTAAGAAACTTGCAAGGCTTTGTTGATAGAGCTGGAAATTAAAGCTGGGCGATATGATCAAAATTTTTATATCACGGTATTTTCAACATTTTCACCGGTTTCACTGTATTTGACGGTATTTTTCTTTTAATCACAGCTCAGCTGATAATAAAATGTACAAACCCTGCTTATTGGTTGGAGACAGTAGTCATGCATTTTGGTCCAGTCGTGAAGGAGGAGGGTTAAGAAAAGATTATGATCGGGTTTATTGTTTTATGTTATTTATTAAAGCTTATCAGCACRACTCACCTTGCACACCAGTCAATTCTAACTCCACTACGAACTACTTCCTGCAGCTTTTCACAATAGAAGCACGTTAAGTCTCCATCAGCATAACGTCTCCATATTAACTAACCGTGTTGAATCTAACTGTGCACGTCACTGAAGAGGTGTTTACTACATTCAGAGACGGTGAAAACGGGATGTATTTTTAAACGTCAGTCAATATAAGCAGCGGAATCGCCACCCGCTGCTGCAACTAGCTGCTCCAAACATTAGCATGCTAACGCACATAG